GCTTCTCGATGCGTATATGTCAGTACTAATCCTATGTAGGCCAAGAAGGAGCTCACCCTGTTTAGGTATGAGGGTTTAGGAGTGACCTATGGAATGTTTCGGTAAGTGCAGCCTGCAATCGCCGCCTACGCACGGTTCAGGTACCCAAGCAAGCCAATCAACCGCTCAGGATCATCCAGCTATACAGCCTAAATAAGTTAGCTTCCTTCCTTGCTGCAGGGTTGTGGGGCGAGGAAGGATCCCTGAAGGATCCCTTCGGGCTTTCATTATTCATCATATGCCGAAAATTGGGGCGAATAGCTTTAGTGGCATTGCCCGATTACATGCGTTATGCTGCCTGAACTGCAGCGTCGAAATGTAGTCTGTTACATTTTGTCCCCGTCGAGGAACAATAAATAATGCTTTCTTTGGATGTTATAGGGTCAAGTACTGCGTTGAGCCCTAAGAACAATTGCATTATACCTTCCCTGAGCAGTTTATTGTCAAGTACTGCTTCAAGCTCTGATAATGGATTCTTCCAAGCGAACATGGATGCGGATGTGGCGCGTCGACCCGTCATCAAGTGACACATGAAACGTGGGAATGCGCCGAGATATACTATGTCAGCCCCCTTTGGATAATAAGAGCAACACACTTACCCAATGCAGTAAGCGCCTTGCGACACAAGGCTCTCATCTATGCTTCAAAGCTTTCTAGATTCAGGTATCCGGCTGCATTGATGAGCTGACTTTGTGGGGGTGCTTCATCTCTCGATGGCAGGTCTCTGGCCCTCCACACTGCACGAAGAGAAACACTGGAGGCGGAGAGCCTTGGCAGATTGTCAATGACAGGGAAGAAGACCAAAGAAATCCTGATGTTACATCTTGGCTGGTTGGTCTATTCATGCTGCGCCATCACAGACCAGGGTTGTGATGCAGATGCTGGGGCCGGATGATGGAGGCCAGACGAGGAGACCAGTAAAAGACGCCTCTCGGTAGCTATCCTACAGTTCATCCACATGTTCCAGGCCTACAAGGCAGAGATTGGCCCCAGAATGGAGGCATATTATTGGTTTCTGTACAAGTTGTAGAGTTGGGGGAGCCTTGGAGTCTTAAGATAAAAGTACCAGGAAAAGGTATAAGTACAGCGTCCTGGGCTCGAGTATCCTGCTCATCATCAACAACAACAAACAGCTTCTCTAAAGAACAGCTTTCCAACAACAATCCTCTCTATCTATCCATACTTTTAAGACTATCTCATCTACCCAAATTATTCAAAATGCAATTCACTGCTACCATCCTGATGCTCGCCACCGCCATTACCGGCGCCATTGCCGCTCCCGGCGCTCTTGAGCAGAGACAAGACATCATTGAGATCAAGGCCTGTGATGGACAGAACTTGGGAGGAACCTGCACCAAGATTTCTATCAAGACCCAGCATGACTGCTGTATGTGACAATTACCCAACCCCGTTCTTTTCTCGTTTTCCGCCTTCATAGCTGATCGTTTGATTACATCTAGTCAACCTGGAAGACAAGCCAGTCAACGACAATGTCCACTCAGTCTCCATCCCCCAGGGATACCGTTGCCGCTTCTGGGAGTATGTTCTTCTTCCTTTGTATTGTGATGCTGACATTCCTGGCTGACTTGTGCTTCTTTCTTGCTCTGTAGGTCCGACCGCTGCAACGGCGGTGGCACTGGCGACATCCAGTCCCCTGGAAGTGACAACATCTTCTCCAACCGCGTCCAGTCTGTCAAGTGCTACATTAACTGAGACACTCTCGAGACTTTTGAGACGGTTCGTCAGCAATAAGCATTGGATGAGTGAAGGGCTTGGCGATTGCTGGGTCTGATATCATTTTCTGGCTTACTGATGATAGCCCGCTATTCAGACGTTTGGAAAATGGCTAGGATCAGGCCGGTACTTCGGACTGTACAAAGATGTATTAGTTGGCTTTCTGTCTTTAGATATTTATCGATTGTTTTATATCCATGCAAAGCGCAAACCTGACACCCGTTGTAACCCTTCTGAACTAGCATTACTTGCTTCGCAATTCTTGACGTGCTCAATGAGCCAATCACATGCTTATCTTGAGATAAAGCCCTTCTATCTTACCTGTCTTTAAAAGAGATTCGGAAAATCAACGGAGATAGAAACGAAATCCTGTTCAGGATAACTCAAAGAACTGGAAACGCCATTATAGCGCGTCTGCCGCTCGTGTTACCAAATGCGATAATACCGTCTTTAACCGTTGAGGAGCTAGGTTGATAATTGGGAGGAAGCCATAGCTCTCTTCGACCTTTAATAGGGACCCATCGATCTGCTCCCAGAAATACCCCTACCCCTTCTGTGGAGGAATTTGATTTAAAGTCTTCGTAGCAGGTATGGATATCAAAAGAGCCTATGTTGATAGTCAATAGCGGCAGGTGCTCAGAAAACTCAATGTTAGTGACAAAACCATCAGTGCTCAAGGTATGCTTGAGAGTGCCGCCACAGGCACTCCACAGCTTGATATTGTTATCAATGAAGCCTAAGCCTCATGTCAGGAGCCGGCCATTACCTGAGAAGGCGACTGACCGAACACAGCCAGAATGACCCTCCAGTCTATGCTTTGAGAGTGCATGTAGCAGTATCCCACACAACGCAATGGTTTCCGTGGTGAAGTCATACAGGTCGGGACTGACTTTGAGTTTGTGGTCCACATAGCTGGTGTTGGATTCAATAAGACCCAGTGGGCAGGGGCACCAGCAGAGCAGCAGCCGCAGCGAGAGCAGTAGCAGCCATGGGGCGAGACATCGAATGTACCATGTTTGAGCCCGGTCTGTCAGGGCATCTCCTGAGAGGGGGGTTTCATGAAGCCACCCAAGAATGAAAATGGTAACTGATATTTTAATCTAACCAGTAGGAAACCAAGCAGCATCTATTGAAGCACGTTCGCTGTCTCTCCTCTCAGCAGCTCACCCAGAACAGCTGCGACATCTTCCACTGCCTCCAAATTCAACACTGTTTCCTCTATCTTTCTCTGTCTCTTCTGTGAGATCACTCCTTTTGTAACAGCCCGCCACTTTTCTAGCACCTCTTCATTTGATAATCCAGGATGCACCCCTCTTGGTGCCTTTAACATAGTCTCCAGTATCTCTCCATCTTCAAAGGTAATCCTCACCCGCTGTGCCCATGAATGATCAAACTCTTTAACCTCTCGACACTCTATCATCTCCATCACCTTCCACAACTCCTCACGATTCAATTTCCCTGGTGCAAACTGCGCTGGTACAACCTCCCAATCCACTACCTGCAATACCACTGCATATGGCACACACATCTGTGCTCCTGTCACATTGGCTGGCTTCTCCGGTGTCCAGCCACCCTTCTTCATAGCTGCCCTGGCCATTTCCGCCTCAATCTTTACCATCTTCTTCCACTTTCTCATCCTCGCGGGATACTTAGCCTGCAGATCCCTAACACAATCCACCGTACAATGCGAACCCGCCATTAATGGATACGGCTTCTGCCGTGTCTTTTCCGTATGCCATACTTCTCCAAGCCCCTTGCATACTTCTTCTGGGAAGAACTTTGGCTCTGAGTCCGCTCCATGTGAAAATGTCTTTAAAAAGCCACCAGATGAGGAATCAAAGACATCCTGGATTCCAGTAACTCCCTGCTTTGCTAGGTATATAGCCAGCACACCACTCCGCGACGCAAATCCATGCTGCATGCGTTTGACCATACTCTCAAACTGCGCAGACATAAGTCCGCAGGCCTGTGTGCATGCTATGCCTAATGCATTTTCAATTTCCGCAGCAGAGAGACTGAGAATCTTCGATACTGCAGCTACAGATGCAGCAGGGCCAAAGACCGGAACGGAATGCCAGCCAATTGTAAGCATGTGTGATCCACCAAGGGCATGCCCTACACGGGGACCGGTTTCATAGCCGGCTACCATGGCGGTCAGGAAGGCATTACCACTGATGGGGGTAGTGCTGTGCTCTTGTTCTGCAGCAGCGAGGACAGCAGGTAGGACGACGGAACAAGTATGGATGGGGGCTTCGACGTGTACATCATCTATTTCGAAGCCTTGGAGGAAGGTGCTGTTGAGGAGTGCGGCAGCACTGGGTGTCAGGTCTATTATTATTACCATTGTTAGTGACTTAGCCTTGTTGATACCCACTGATTCTTAGCATTGGGAATCATTGGAAGGGATTACAGGTATACCTCATTCCATCCGATCACGGTACATTTACCGCGTCCTTCGATGACAGTGATAGCGTCGTGTGCTTTCACAGACCAAGGAAGTCGCGCGCCCAGAAGGGCACAGGCTAAGCCATCCAAGATGAGGTATTTGGCTCGCGTACGAATTTCGATAGGGATAGAGTCCGGGGGAGTTCTTCAAGCCAGGTGGAAAGGGTGCGGGTCACAGAACTGCCGGTGGAAGTGTCGGGAAGAGCTGTGTGGGTGGCCATGTTGATGATTTGGGTGGATGCTTGGTCCTGATCCGTGGTGGGCCTTGAGAAGAGAAGGGTAGAGAAGATGATGAGAAGATGGTTAGTGCTGCATCGCGGGGGAAGGGGGAGTCATTTATGGCTAAATCCAGCAGAACACAACAATTTGATAGAGTGGACGACCCCGACCGATACTCCACTTCTTCGCTGAATTATGCTATAAGTAAACTTTATGGCCTCCTAAATTTGCAGTTCAGCTCGGAGCGGAGTTCGGAGACGGCGCAGAAATGCCCCGGATCGACTGGACCAGCTTGTCGGTAACTGATTCCGACTCAATAGAATTGTAAAAGAAGAAAGATGGAACCTGGGATATAATTGGCAGATAGCTAATCTCAATGATATGCACGCTGGGAATTTACGGAATGACCTATTTGTGCCGATCTCTAACTATTGTATTCCGGCTTGCCGATCGCAGCAGCCCAACACAGACTAGCAAATCATATTATATATATATCTGTTAAAAACTCGCAGACCGCTGTTTCGCGCATCTTATACCCTTTTTTCCTTTTCTGAGGTCAACAAGGCCTTACTACTTATGTATAGATTCTGCCATCTTACCCTGTCTAGACATGGCAGGGCTCGGCTGGGCCCACGCGTAATTGGCTCTCTATAGCTCCCCCACTAAATTCTTGGCAGTGGGGCGCGAAAACAATTGTTATGTGTTCAAAGGTCTGGGGAATTTTGGACTGCTTGTATGGGGGGATGTCATACATACATACATACATTCATAAGAAATGCCGATGGTGTAGAGTGAATGGGAAATGAGTAGGTCGCTATTGCTGGACTCTCGCAGGACCCAGTTCAAAGCCCTTCGTTACGTGGACACCAATATACCGACGAGGTCAATTAGTATCCCAAACTCGCGTTGACCATAGGAATGATGCCATTATCAATTGCCTCGGCTGATCGCCAACCAGACCACGTATGATCTAGAAGACCTAGTGATGATAGTTAGTCACCTATCACGGACTGCTGACAGCAAGGATAAGAAACGGCAAACTTACCCCAACTCTCATCATAATCCTGTATTCCCTGGCGGATATAATAACTGCCTGAAAGCACCCAAATCATCCACCCGGCATGAACACTAGGCAGCCATTCCCTCAAGCATGAGGCATATACTTCCGTATAGGTGGAATCATCTTGCTCGTACCCGAACTCTGTCATCACGACCGGAAGCACATTTACGATACTCGAGTCGTCCGTCTCTAGGGCATCGAAACCATCGCTCAACAAGCTAGACGATAGACTACTGCAGCTTGTAGCAGATGTGTCATAGTTGTGAAGCTCTAGTACGATCTTATCTTCAAAGTCGAAATCGCTTTTCTTGAAGACGGTGCCATCGCCGAGGTCCGAGGCGGTCGGTATCGGTGAGAGTGTGACATCGTAATTAAGACCTGAGAAGAAGAGGAGCAGGTCTGGATTGATGGAATGAACTTGGTTCGCGTTTTCTACCATGTTGCTGTACCATGTTTCCCAGTTGTAGGTGTCGTCTGCGAGTGTCGTGTTGTCATCAGGGCTGCGGAGTTCGTTGCGCATGCCGATGCTTTTTACGGCTGGCAGGGATTTGACCTGTGTTGGAGTTGCGTTAACTGTCGAAATGAAGAATCACACAGGTACGCTGCTTACGTGCTCGGCCATATATTTCCATCCCCTGTGCCAGTTGCTCACGTTGAAGTAGGTGTCTCCGAACCAGGCATTTCCGTCAGTGGTCGAGCAACACCAACTGGCTTTGGAGACGTGGTTGTCCAAATGCACATAGATTCCTTGGTTGTAGCATTCTTCGGCTACTGCGTCGTAAACCTAGACACTGTTAACATTAGATTGTAACGAGTTCTGAGAGATACGCCGTACCTCCAGTCGAGTAGTATTTTCCCCAAACTGCGGGTTATTACTGACGATATCGTCGTAAATTTTGGTTCCATTTGTTTCACCCAGAGCGTTGATCAGTGACGTTTTGATCGGTATATCTGCTCCGGTCTCATAGATGTCATCGATCATTTCGATAGCAAAGGTAAGGCGAATGACATTCATGCCTAGATCCTTGATCTTGCCGACGATGTACTCGATGGATTGGTACTGCAGCCCTTCAGGCAACATGGCCACCTCAGCACCGGGCCAGTTGACTCCTGCATAGGTGACATTGTTCCCATCAGTATCGACGATCCATCGACCCGAGGTTGATAGAGGAGAGGAAGAAATCGAGGCAACGAGGCCTGGTGCTGCGAGGCAGAGCAATCTCAAGCTGGTGCTAAGATGCATTGTACTAGATGCTGATCGAAGTTGGCTCGTTGCTCCCTCGGGGTGTTCTGCAAGTACCCTTTAAATGCTTGACATGCGACTCCCCGGAAGCCTGCATAATTAATGCACACCCCCGAAACCCCTAGCGATGACCGCATGATCAAGCCAGTTCCTGAGGATGTCGCCAATGGGAACAGTAGCGCAACGCCTTTTCCGGGGCGGTTGTCTACAATTCGTGGACATGTCCGCGGATAAGCCTTGATTGTCAGGTTCTTCAGGCGGGGAAATGCAAGACAAACATGTGTCGGTCTACGCAACACGCGTTGCAATATAACCGACTGGAGAGGAGTGCCTGAACGATGACTGCGGGGAGAAATTATCCGCCTATGGATCTTAAAGTTTCTCCTGTCTTGGATTACTTCACCATCAACTGCATATCATAAACGGTCTTACACACTGTGAGAGCGACTTACTGGCTAAATCTATTTGTCTCCGAAACTAGCTTGTTAATCGCAGACAGTGCACACAATATGGTATGCCTGCTCATCGACAACAGACATTAATTCATTGATAGGTTAATTGGTGAAAACAATAGAAGAATTAGATCACTGCAGAGTGTCCTCCGAGCGGGGTGTATCTGCTGATCTTCTCTTCGTGCAATGACGTGGGCGGTCGTGCTGAAGCTACTTACTAGGGCGCATGCATGCCCCGCCCTGGCGGGTAAGCCATTAGAGGAAATTAACCGATGGAGCTGGCCATTGCTGCAGTAAAGTGGACGCTTTGAAGAGGCAGGGATCTTGCAAGGAAAGGGTTTAGGTACAGTATGGGCTATACCCAACTTCGTGTCCGTCTTACCGAAGATAGTCTATATCGTGCGCGCCTGGCTGCCTTCTTACAAGCTCACCAATAGAGGAAGATGAGAGTGGACGTCAATGAACCTGCAACCTGCAAATCTGCAGAGAAACTAGCCGAAGTGTCTATAGTTTGTTAGCTTAGTTACGACCGACTAGATAAGAACTGTAATCTTCGAGTTGGGTAAGAATAAACTCAGCATGTACAACTGAGTAAAGGGTAGTTAGGGGAAAGAACAGAAACTGGGGCTAGACACTCGGAATAATTTCTCTCATATGGAGACAGCTTAGTAGTCCTAACACATACAGATCGATATAGTTGTCATTAGCAGTGCCCTAGATCAGAAGCTTGCTTGAGAAGTTTTGGTAGGGCCATATTGCCTCGATGAGTAAATGCGACCGTACGGGACATATACCACCTGCATAATGCGCCATTAACAGGTGCTAAAGCTTGGGCTATGAAGCACATTAAGGAACCTATAAGTATCATCACTACCCACAGTCAAAGAAAGTACTCTGTACATACCTTCTCGCTGGTGTTAAAGCGGTAAGGTGAGTATCTGAAAGGCCGAGTTCTCATGGATTTTCGTCCTGATGGACGGTTATGCGCGCCCCAGGAACACTTAGGCTTTAGAGATTACAACGTCAGATCGATAGATGTATACGCTGTAAGAAGATACCTGCTCTATTTGGAGACTAGAGATATACGAAAAAAAATATGATGGCTGAGACAAAGAAATGACGAAGCGCAAGGCATCAATAAGGCATCAATAAGGCCGAATCGGGCCATCCCATCCATTCCTGCCGCCAACCGGCATCCCATCGACTCGCTCTTCTTTGATTAATATCCCCCGTTATCCATCTACTTCAGTAGCATCCGAGTAGATGCAATTTTTACGATTGTCATCGCTTAACTACAGGTAGTTAATGGCGCGGGTATCTTTATCACTCTTTGGAAACTTTTTCTCTCCGCCTGACACCCCGCGTCCAGAGCCACGGTTACTGTCAGCCGAGAACCTGCAGTTGCTGACAGCAGAATATCTCACTCCCCTGGTCGTAGCTGCACACTTCAACTCTATTCAATTCGATAATAGGTGCTCCGTCTAGTCTAGGTCGTGACATGGTCGTCATTGAACTCGTGTTCAGACCTTAAAATGGGTTGCCTTACGACGTCCCTCTGACCGAGATCGACAACCCTTCCGACAATGCAACCCCACAATATCAGTCTAAGCGCTATGTTCTTTGCCGACATGGGCGTAAAAACGCTGGAAAGAGGCGCCATGAGTGATGGATATTCTATCACTTCTCAGTAAGCTTACGGCTTAGCAAGGCAAGCTGACGTGGGTCTTGGCCCCCAAGCTTACCAAGCTGCTGGAGGGGTCCGCCTACATCTACATTCATGTCGACCTTTGTACCCCTCCCTTGAATGAACTACTACCTATCAACTTATTTTGGAGGTTGTGTAGCTATTGCATGACCATGTCCGACCACGTCCTGTCCCAAATTCCAGTTCTCCAGGGCGTCGTGGCCGCCGACTGTGAGATTCTGCACGACCCCAACGATGCACGGTTTCAGCAACGCTTAGCTCGATGGACTGATATCGACCGGAAAGTTCCGACTGCTATTGTTCTCCCTCGCACAGAGGGTGACTGTTTGAAGACGGTAAGATGAGCCTTGCAAGTACACGGACGCTGAGATCAGCCATTAACACTGGGCATAGGTGCAATGGGCTCTCATGTCGAGCATTCCATTCGTGCCGAAAAGCGGCGGTCATAGTACCTGGTCAACCATTGGATCAGAGGGAATCATTATTGATCTCAGTTTGTATTCTGAAGTTCGTGTTGATGCGGGTGCGCGAACAGCAACCGTGATTGGCGGTGTTTTGGCCAAGGAAGTGTCTGTGCGTCTAGCAGAAGCGGGTTTTTTCACAGGTATATATGAACCTCTGGTTATTGCTCACTCTGAACTATTTGCTGTCTAGCCTAACTCGATCAACTCACACAGCACTCGGGAATGGCAACAGCGTTGGTGCCATCCCGTACCTGCTTGGTGGCGGGGGCTCAATCACCAATTCCATCACCGGCTTCGGATCGGATCAGATTGTGGCAGCGCGCGTAATCACAGCAAAGGGGGAGCTGGTCGAAGTTACAGAGGGGACGCACTCGGATCTGCTCTGGGCATTGAAAGGAGCTGGTCAATTCTTCGGCCTGGTCACTCAGCTCACGGTTCGTGCGCACCCCTTGTCGCTACTGCGGAAACGACAGGGCTTGATATGGGTGGGGGCCTTTATCTTCCCACTTGATCGGGCGGTGGAGGTGGCTCGAGTCATGAAGCAAATCATGAATGATCCCCAACACGCGACGGCGGGCCTCATGATGATCATTGCCCCGCCTCCCGCGCGCGTTCCATCCCTGGTGATTTCTGCCCGTTATACCGGCGATGAGGCCCCGGAAGTGCCGTTCAAAGCTTTGTATGACCTTCAGCCAACCGCTACAATGGGCAGAGATCTACCTATCCAGAACGTCAATGATGAGCGAGAAGCGCTATGCGCCAAAGGTGACTTCAAGAGGTTCGGTATCGTAGGGTTGCATGAATTTCGTATCGACGGATTTATGCAGGCCATCGAGGTCTGGAAGAAATTGACCCATGAGTGTCCTGATGCCATAAATTCAGCCTTCAACTTACAGTGGGACTCGCGACCGGTTAAGGCGCCCGAGAAGGAGTCGGCCATGTCGTCGCATGATATCCGCTACTGGCAGTAGGTTTTCTTGGATCCTTTTAACGTTGCGACGCTAACTGTGGATGTAATGTATTCAAGGGTCAACATTATCTGGCATACAGATGAAAAGAACAGACGCAAGGTCGACAAATACAACGATGAGTGCGTTGCTCTGATGCGGGGCCCGGACGAAACACGATACATCGACTTCCAGAATGCGACTCGGACGGGACCTATCCGGCGACGGTATCGGGGAGAGGCTCGGCTGAAAAAGCTTCGACAGCTCAAGAGAGAATGGGATCCTCAGGGTGTGTTTACCAGGCAATTGCTGGATATTGATTAAATACAAATGATACAACGAATTAGACTGTTGATAAAGACGGGCCGTTGTGTCTAGAATTGAGGCTTCATGAGATTCAAAGACAGTGACACTGCACTGGGGTTTACCCTCCAGAAATTTTCTTTCATCGGTGTAGCTGTGGGCGACAAAGGAATGAGAGATATTGCATGTCTCAGACACGCATACTGTCTGTCGGTCTCGCGTGTCTCGTAGCCACGGCCGGATTATCCGCGGCGACCCACGTATCCGCTAGGCATTCAACAAGCTCAATAGGCGATTTTGAAAAAGCTTCAGTGATGTAGTAGATTAGCCTTTCAGGCAACGAAAGTCTCGCCAGCCCCGTCAGAAAGGTGAGCGATTACGACCACAGAGAGCAAGAAACAAAAATCAGCTGGCCGGCGGAAGCGCGATGGTATCCGGCGAAGGCTTATCACGGCAGCTCAGTCGGTTCTCCGATGCTCCCCCGGTGGCCCTAATTTGGCATCGACGAATAGCCGCCATCCTCGCCCGGCTAGTGCCCGATAACACCAGGACTAACCGACGCAACGGCATAGTTCCCCTATAGCGTAGGAAGGCCATGGAGAGACGCGGCCGATAAGCTGCAGAGGAGCTTTCCGTGGTCTGACCAGTGCCTATCAGCAACTGGAGACGCGGTGGACACCCCCGCAATCGCAAGACCGCCTCGACACCGTCCATCCAGGCACCATCGCAACGGCAAACCTGCCTCTCCTCCAATCAAACCATGAATGAGATACTGCTAGCGGCGGTGAGAACAGCAGGTTGGATGTCGTGATTAATTCTCGCATCGTCCCTCACTGCAAGGGCTCCACTCCCGGAGCTCTGCGGCATTGTTATTTAAATCTGCCGTCGCGACCTGGCGGCCATCGGCCATTGTGTCTGGCTGCAATCGCGCAGATTCAATCTCAACATGTTGGTCCGTCAGCTTACCCTGGCTCTGGCCATTGCGGCCTTGTCCAATGCCATTCCGACGTCCATCAAGCATGTTCTGCACGAGAAACGTCACAAGCCCGCATCCGATTGGGTGAAGGGTGCGCGCGTTGAGAGCGATGCGGTCCTCCCTGTGCGCATTGGCCTTGCTCAGAACAACTTGGACAAGGGTTATGATTTTCTGATGGAAGTGTGAGTCTTAACCTACACTCCCTTCTGCCATTGAATCGGTCCTGGAATCAATGCAGGATCTTGAAGAATGAAGCATACTGATGTAAATACTGCGCAGGTCGGACCCCAAGTCTTCCAAGTACGGTCAGTACTGGTCGGCAGACGAGGTGCACGACATCTTTCAGCCATCCGAAGAGGCTGTTGAGGCAGTGAGAGAATGGCTCGTCGCTTCTGGTATCCATCCGTCACGGGTCGTGCACTCCGACAACAAGGGCTGGCTCGCCTTTGACGCCTACGCCCATGAAGCTGAGAGGCTATTCATGACGGAATTCCACGAACACGAGAGTGACCGAAGTGCTAAGATCAGAGTCGGATGCGACCAGTAAGTTGAGTCCCTTGTCGCCGTTCATGCAATTGTTAATTAGAATCTAGATACCACGTCCCCGAACACATCCAGAAACACATCGACTACGTCACCCCTGGAGTGAAGCTCACCCAAGTCGTGAAGAGGACCAAGAAAGTCAAGCGTGCCTCCCAACTTGCTCACTCCTCCAAGGTCAAGTCTGCTGCTCAAGGCTCGCAGCCACTTCCTAGCAAGGCCAAGTTCCTGCCTGAAGACCTCCGCGGCTGCGGTTACAACATTACCCCTTCATGCATTAAGGCCTTGTACCAGATCCCCGACGCCAAAACGGCGACCCCGAACAACAGCCTCGGTCTGTACGAGCAAGGTGACTACTTTGCCAAGTCTGACCTCGACCTCTTCTACAAGGAGTATGCGCCTTGGGTTCCCCAGGGTACCTATCCCATCCCGGCCTTGATTGATGGCGCCAATTACTCAGTACCTTCATGGAGTTCCCTGAACACAGGTGAATCCGACATTGATATTGACATGGCGTGAGTTAGCCCCACATTATACTATCAGCCCAATACTGATGTAGTGAAGCTACTCCCTCCTCTATCCTCAGCAAGTTACCCTCTACCAGGTTGACGACCAGCTCTACGAACCAGTCGAGGTCGACACAACCAACCTGTTCAACACCTTCCTCGACGCTCTCGACGGTGTAAGTCCCTGACTCATCTCCAGTCTTACGCCGCTAACAGCTCCAGTCCTACTGCACCTACAGCGCCTACGGCGAGACTGGCGATGACCCGTCGATCGACCCCGTATACCCGGATCCCCGCCCCGGCGGCTACAAAGGTATCTCCCTATACCACCTTTCCCCCCCATATAACCCACCCTAACCCAGGCCAGGAAAACTCCAATGCGGCGTCTACAAGCCCACGAACGTAATCAGCGCCTCCTACGGCCAATCCGAAGCCGACCTCCCCGTCAGCTACACCAAGCGTCAGTGCAACGAGTTCATGAAACTCGGTCTACAGGGCCACTCCATCCTCTTCGCGTCGGGCGACTACGGCGTCGCATCTTTTGCCGGTGACGGCGACGAGAACGGATGTCTCGGCCCAGAGGGGAAGATCTTCAACCCCCAGTACCCCTCCAACTGTCCCTATGTCACCTCCGTCGGTGGTACCATGCTGTATGGCTACCAAACCGTCAACGACAGCGAGAGCGTCATGCACGTCAACCTCGGCGGGACCGAAAGTAACTTCAGTACTTCTGGTGGATTTTCGAACTACTTCCCCCAGCCGGCGTATCAGTATGCTGCTGTGGAGCAGTACTTCCAGACTGCAAATTTGTCGTACCCATACTATTCGGAGTTTGAGGTCGATGTTAACAAGACTAAGGGCCTCTATAATCGTCTTGGTCGCGCTTATCCGGATGTTTCGGCCAATGGAGCCCATTTCAGAGCTTATATGGATGGCTACGATTATCATTGGTATGGGTCGAGTTTAGCGTCGCCTTTGTTTGCGTCGGTTCTTACTTTGGTGAGTTTATTATTTTGCTTGGCTGGGGGTTTACGTTGGGATGGTGATGCTGACAGCTGTTTGCAGCTTAACGAGGAGCGCTTCGCTATCGGCAAGGGCCCTGTCGGATTTGTGAACCCCGTGCTTTATGCTTATCCGCAGGTGCTGAATGATATCACCAATGGTACTAATGCCGGATGTGGAACGTATGGGTTTAGTGCTGTTCAGGGGTAAGTGCCAATTATCAAATTGTTAAGCGTGGTGTGCTAATGAAGGAATACAGATGGGATCCCGCTAGTGGTTTGGGTACGCCCAATTACCCCTTGATGAGGGAGCTGTTCCTCTCTCTGCCTTGAGCTCCATGGTGCTCTGTTGGTGGATAGGTGGTCAAGGGTTGTATATAAGTCTGATGTGGAAATAGTTACGATGCTAGATAATGTGTAGACGAGTTTGAATGGTTATTCATCCCCTTCTCACTATTGTTGGGATACTCATGTTCTGTGCATATGTTGAACTACAGAAAAACGTTCGAAGAAAATGGTCAAAAGTTGACTATTCGCTGTCTATTTATAGTCTATGTATGAAAATTATCAAAAAGCCTAGCCCAAGGGATATCAAATAAACATAGGAAAACACTAAACCGATACTATATAACCAACCAATAAAGATATATAGATGAATTAAAACCGCTCATACCTCCCATCCATCTCGACCAAATGCACCGCACTCGTCGAATCCCGCTCCGACCGTGTCGTGTAATCAACGGAGATATTGACAGACTTGGAGATCTTGCTGTTCGTTACCCCCGAGACACCTCCGTTGTGGTAGAGAGAGTTGGTTCGGTCGTAGGTCCGTCGCTGTGTGCTGCCGGGAAGACCCGGAACGTAGTGGTTTATGAAAGCGCGGGCGGCGGGTAGACAGGTCGTCATGATTGCGATTTGGGATTCGATGATGGACCAGTGGATGAGGGGTTGGAGACCAGCTGTATAGAATTGAGTTAGTGGGGTGGGGTTGAAGATAAATGAGAAGTGGAGAGGTCGTACCAGTCAGATTTGAGGTCCAGCGGTTTTCCCAGAACACGATCACACGGATGATGGCGATGATGGTTAGACTTAGGTTTTTATTAGCAAGGCGGAAATGCAGTGCATGAGCGGGTTGTGCTTACATGAGACCCATCATGAACATCAGTGCTACGGTGATCTTCTTCATCCATGGCAGCTGCAGCTTGCTCACTTCGTAAAGCGGTAGGAGGACGATGACGACGTCGACAAAAATGTTGACAAGGCAGTGGACTAAGACGGCCGCGATGAAATTGATGCATGTGCCGACCCCTTCGTATTCCCCGGTCCAATTATCCCAGTCAAGATGAACTGGCACGCATCGAAGCAGATCCACGAGGGCGAACGTGATACCAATGGCGACGTTGATGCCGATGAGGATGTATGCGCATATGCGGAAAACACGGGACTGGAAGATTCGCAGCAGGAAGAGTAGGACTGATATCTTGCAGAGCGAGATTTGGATCTTGTACATCATCGCCAATCCTTCGAAATACTGGAAGACCAATGTAACGTGATGGAAGGGTAAGATATCCCAGGTGTTCATTCCGAATCCATATTTGATCACTGTTTTGTTAGATCATGCCAGGTGTGTGGAAAGATAGTGACTTACTGTATGTATTGACGACAAACAAGCCAACTCCCAGTATCTACTAGCTGTTAGAAGCGTAACGATGCCAAGTACTGAAAGAGCGCTTACCCATGCGATTGTGACAGTATAGTCGTCGGGGCCCCAGCCACCAGCGAGGTTTGCGACCTTCGCCGCTATCCGGATGAAGAAGAATATCGTGGCAAGGATAGCAGGTGCAAGGGTGGAGGGATCAACGAGAGGGGGCCCCTTCTTGATGGGTTGGTCGCATTCCAATTCATACAAATGCCTTGTGACTGCGAAATGTTAGGCATGCATGAACGACAGTGTGAGTAAAGTGTAGCTGGATGCTCACTATAGTATTCCAGTGCACTGCAGTTAGACAATGCGCAAGTCACTAGCGACGACTTGCTGGCATCGCCGGTGCATACACATGATGCATCGGTTATGGTGCAGTTTGGAGATTCTTGGTGCAAGCAAGACACCTGGGGACATGGTCAATGAAAGCGGAACCCCCGCGAGAGAATCCCACTTACCGCACACTCTGGAAATTCTGTGCCATTCAACGACACGGCGAACACAGACACCGTCAATGCTGCCAATATTGTGAATAACAACTGATGTATCTTCATTGTGATGTGGGATGTAACTCAGGGACAGAGACAACAGGCAAACGGGGAAGCCAGTCGGCGGAAAAGGGATTTCCTCGGTCACGCTTTATAATCAATCTCCCTCGGCATCTACGCCATGTGGATTTCGAAACACCAGTCGATATCGGTCAGGAGCAAGCTTTTTTTCCACACGGGGGCGTGCTTGGCCCGAGCTCCCTTCCCAGTAAATGTGTGGTCCAGACTCCCGGTTCGTCCAGCGATCGTTGTGATGGAGACTTCTGAGCGTATCGATTAAATGGACGAGTTGGGTTTGCATCCCGAAGTGACGCAGCTTGATTTTGTGGATGAACATGCTTTGCACAGCGCGATCCATTTTGCATTAGGACCGTGGGTTCAGTGAGACACTGGCATTTCCACGAGGAGGGGACCAATCCGAGGGGGCATGGCTGGCTGGGCGATCGGATGCAGAACTGCATCCGTCCGGTAGAAACTTAGATTAGAGTGGATCCTACTGCTCGGTCCACTTGAAGCCGGATCTGAGACACCGATTGGGAATCATCTGCCGATGCCCACCACTCCTCTCCAATCACCTAGCGACGGAGCATTTGGAATGCCGCTTCTCCTGACTCGGAGGAGCCAACGACCCTGTGCGTCTCCCGCGCCCAGCTTGACGCCATGTCGCTTAGAGCCTTGGAGGGACGAAGATGGGGTTCTCATCTCAGCTGGGGGGTATTCTCATGGCTATGGAGGCGAGAAGTCCTGACTCGTTTTGAGTTCTCGGCGCCATCTCGCCTGAATGTAGTTGGTTGCAGTGAAAGCACTAATGTGCAAATGACTTTGGTGGTGAAACGGAGCCCTATTCATGGGTTGTGGGCGAACTCAAAGAAGGCACGTGGACCGCCTTCCAAGGACTTTCAAGTAAAAGCTCCGAGCCTCGGTCCTAGTCCGTAGAGACGTTGTAATCCCTGGATTTAGGGCACAGAGAGGCGGTTGTGCGTGCCAAAAATTGGGGAAAAATATCATTTTAAGCTCAAGTTAGCGCGCCAAGTGGCTCGTCGTTTGAAATTGATGTGTTTTTGAATACCGCTTGCTTGTTTAGGATTAGTGTCAGTCAGTATCTTTGCGCTAACCCATACCGGACTGGTTTCCACGTGGGGAGCGTCACTGCCTGAGGATCTCTCTCCCCATTACTCAGCGCCGCAGTGGTTGAGTGACGCGGTCATTGATCTATCAGAAACATCATTTTCTAAATGATTACCCACAAACCTCTCGCTGGTCGAGTTCTAATCTGCGAAATACCTAACATATCTGCCAAACACCTTGCTTGGCTGAATGACTAGACTTCTCTGATCTCCTCTAATCTTCGTGCATCTCATACCAAAATAGGTCATATTAAATAGGTGTCGATCTCCCAAAAATAACTGCGTTGGAGTACTCCGTTAATATATATCTGTTCCGTGGAAGTCGGTATAGTCTGCCTAGTAGTTTCTCTTCACTGCCACTAGGACTATACTAGAAGGACTTGCAATTTATTTCGTGATACCCCTGAGCGGTGCACGAACAAGGTCAATTAAGGGGTACGTTCAGCTGGTACCAGCCTTGTCATGTCAATAGATTCACCGTGGCACAATGCACTTACCAGGGAATCTCGATCAGATCTCAATTTATCTTACGGGATCTCACCGGATCTTGTCTATACAGCTTTACAAACATGCAGCTAGTCAACTGTTGATATGATCAATCTGCTTCTTAAGTGACAACTATCCAACGTCGTCGTCATAGGTGGACCCGCTTTATATGACCGGTGGACGTTGAATTCCTCCGACAATTACCCGCCGTTGCCACTAACAGCAACTAGAACAAGTTCTAGTTTTTGTCTTTGACCGGCTGTTCCTCGTTGTCCCTCTGTGAGACGAGCATATTGAAGAGTACCATGGTGCGCAGCCATGTGGCATTTATTTCCGAGGACCCATATCCTATCGTGTATCCAGATAGAAGCCGGCGTCTGGGAAGCGGGAGGCCCGCCAACTTATGCTTATTATCATACTTAAATTGCCAGAAGATTAAATTATATTACTTACTCCATAGTATGCTGGGTTCGCGTCTGTTCATATCCCCCTGTGGCTTCAGATTCACGGCTATTGATTTCAATACTCCTTCATTGACCGGGATTTACCATGGTACAGTGTAGATAGGTCCCGGCCAACAAGAGACATATCATCGGATTCACCATGTCTTTGATGAATAACCCATGATATATAGGACCCACAAACCTTGTCCTACATCAACAAAGTTTTGATGGTGTTGACCGAAGTGTTCACATTAGATCACTATATCCGCTCACTGCATCTACCGAAGACTGGATTCACTTGATGTCGCTCCAAAACACTGTACCGACTATATAATGCCTCTTCCCTCTCTCTGAACCCACTCGACATGATTTCACGGTTCCTGCAGGATGAGCGCATCCTGGCAAGCTGCAAGAAAGAATATATCGACAGTAGTAAGTATACATTACCAATAGTTAACCACACCGCGATCGGGTCAGCTTACTAAGTGACTCCTTATCGCTAGTTAACTATCGGTCGATCAGCTGATTTTAGCTCCAATTCGAACCAATTCCCTCGCGACTGTCTGACCTTCTCTCGTTAACAATCGCAATCCAGCAATGCAATATCCACCACTGACATGAGCGACCTGCTAAAGTCTCGCTGGGCTCCCAGCCCAAGCGAGATTCAAGCCCGACCCGCCGTTCCTCCCATCACCACCCCAGCAATCCCCTCCAAAACCACTCCCAAACCCACCACCAAACGCACGCCATCCCCCGTCAAGCAACCATCTCGTCAATCCTCCCCACGACCCTCCCCCTCGCGCCACCTTTCCCGCTTCATGAAAATCGTCGAGCGATTAAAATGGAAACTACCATATTTGGCCTACGGCTACCGCCTCGCGACTCTCGACCCGGCTAGTAGCGACTTCGACGTCTCCCACGCCGAGATCATGTTCAAGCTCGATTTCCACGAATACTACTCCCTCCTCGAGCGCGCAATTGTCCACCTCCTTAGCGTCTTTGGTGTCTCTGTGTCTTCTGCTTTTGCGCGTAATCACCTCGCCGCGTATGGCTCCCCTCCGCTCTCTACCCACCGATACCATGCGAATGTATTGGAAGCGCTGCAGGATGAAAACAGTCCCTTGCATACTGTGCTGGGACAGGGCGAGGTTCACGAGCAATTGCAGAGGGCGAAAGAGTTGCGGAATCGGTGGAAGACGGCGGATTTGACGAAGGAAGAGCTGGAGATGGAGGATAAGTGGGCTGCCAGGCGGAAGGGCAAGGCTATGCCGTTGGCGAGCTATGATATCGAGAAGATCCTCTCGGATATCTTCCAGGGCTTCGATGATGCGTATTTGCTTGCGCAGGAGCATGTGGTTGCGTCTGATGGGGCGGAGAAGATGGATGGGTTGTTGCAGGGAGAGTCGGATGCTGATTGGGATTTCATTGTCGATGCTATGGATTGGGAGGCTGTTTGAGCGGTCGGGGTGGCTGTCTGTCTTTGTTAGCGATGTTTCGGGTTAGAATTGCATGGTCGGAGTTCTGGTTTGGGGGCTATATATTCTTCCCTCCGCTGCTTTGATTGTTTACCATGTGCAATTTATGTATAGTGGACTGCCGGGAGTATTAGTTGATGGATGTACAGGCTAGATTTATCTTAGGAGCAGACTCGCCCCTTATCGTTGGGTATCTTGGAATAGGTACCAATATATCCCACCACTTGTACGCTTGCAACATTCCGCTGGTTATTTTCAGTTGTATCTGCGACTACCTGAGGATTACTGCTGCAGTTAGTCTAGTCAAGAATGTATACCGGTACCGCCACCAAATTCGAGTAATATCATAATGTGTATTATTCAAACATTGACTATCAGTGCAATTAGACTCGTAGTAGGCGTAGCCACAGGCTTGTGACTCGTGACAGAATCCCACTGAAACCCAGGCAAAGGACGTGATGCATCATGGAATCCTAATAGTGCCTCCAAATCGAATTGCCATTCAATACATCGTCTTTTGGAGAGGGTAAATGTAACTTAATATCAAGAGGAAGAGGAAGAAGGGTATGGGAATCCCTGTTGTCAAAGTTGGTCGTAGCATCGTTACAATTAAGCATTGCGTTCTCCTGCAGTCTCATAATTGCACTAGCAGCTGATGAGCTTCACAGACGCACTCGTCTAAATTCATTGATAAAGCGTCTTGTTTTTGGCCAAAACAGTCCGTATTCGGTCTCCAGATAAGGGCCACGCACTGGGAGTCTGACTTGCAATCTTTATTAGACCTTATGACCCCTCAGTGGCAGGCGTCGTTGTTCTGGATTATTGCACGCTCAAAGTCAATGAAATTGACGCGGCCATTTCCTTCGTCCCAGATTATGTTTCCTGGAATCGGGCCACTATGTAGCACATCCAACCCATGAACAGCTTCCAGCGAATTGGCCGCTTGTTGAAGCATCTCGTCAAAATCAAGGCCACGCGGTCGGACGAGGGTCTTTCCGGCGTATCCAATGCATACCAGGTGGACTATTTCAGTAATATCGTTGTAAAAATACTGACATCGAAGTCCCAGGCTGTCGAGCAAAACTTGTACCGTCGCCCCTCGGATTAGGGCAAGATGTGAACATACAAGCTCCTCGTGTCTCGCGCTTTGTACAGACACCAGAGTCACGCCTTTTCCGACAAATGTATAGCTAGGGGAGTGGAGTGTGACTAAGGAAAGTGCCCTGGCATCCCTTGCACGTTCAAGTATACAAATTATAAATTTGGATCAGGATCCATAGTGTCATTAGAGAGACGCTTGTTCAATTTCCGAACCAAGGTTGTTGTCCGATTCAATGGATGCTGATCAACACCGTGGTCGGACACGTTAGGGCACTTGAGATTTGGATTTCCGCCTTTTTGGAGGCCCTGAAGGCTTCAAATGTACAAGAAGAACATCGTCAACCATCTCCCATATCCGTAGTCTGCTCGTTGCC